GGGCGGCGGCCCCTCGGCGCGCTGCATCCCCCGGCCGTCCCGGCGCCGCCGGACGCGCCCGGCCACCACGGAGCCTTCGGCAGCGGCGCCGCGCGGAGCGGCGGGCGCTCCCGGGCCCGGCTCCCTGGGCGCCTCTCCGAAACGCGCTCCCGCGGGAAGGCCGTTGCTTAGCAAAGCCGGCCTTGCCCCCGCACGGCCCCACGCGGCCGCATCGGGCCCCTCGGCTGCTGCGCCCCGCACCCTAATGCATAAATTAATAAATAAGAATATATCGATAGCGCGGGGCACGTCTGAAAACCTCCGGAGGGGTCGGGCGCTCCGGCGGCGCCGCGGCAGCTGTTCCGGCGCTTTATCCACGGGCTCGTTTGCCGCCCGGCTGAAATGACGAGGCGTCCTCCACAGGTGAGGCCCCCGCGGGAGCCGGAGCCGCGCTCCTCCGGCGGGAATCGCCTGGCACAGCCGGCACGGCGAGGAGCTTTCCTCGTGTTTACATCGCCGCGGCTGCCGCCTCGGCGCGATTTCAAAGAGAAAAATATATTAGAGACACAGACACCCCCACACCCCCCGGGACCGGCTGCGCTCCCTCCAAGCTCCTGCACACGCGTCAGGTAGGAGAAAACAGGAAACCTTTCCAAGGGGTTCATCCATTTCCAAGTGCTGTCTGTATCGGCAGCGCTCCAGCAACCCCGAAACCGCCCCGGTGCCCGGAGCACCCCGGGGCGCCCCACACGGCACCAAGGCCTCCGGGACCAGGGCCGTCCCGCCGAGGTGCTGCTGGACACCCCAATGACCCGCAGGGCTGTGAGCGGCGATAACTCCTGTGCCTAAGGATTCTCTTTTTTCCCCTGGCAAAACTACCTGCCTCCCGAGCTGCTCTTTCCTGCCCCAGCTCAAGCAGTCTGGGTTCCCACTGGCCACGTCCGAGGCGGAAGCGTTTTCTCCTCCCAGGCCTGAAGGAAGAAGCCATAAATGATTAAAATAAAAAAACAAAGCCCAACTGGAGACAGCCTTAAAGATATTTCAGGGGGGAAACACAGAACATTTTCTGGGTTAAAAGGAAAAAAAACCTGCCAGCAGGCAATCCACATTTGAGCACAATGTGGATTTGCCAAAGGCTGGAAATTTTTTCTTTGCTTCCAAGACATCATTTCTTTGCTTCCAAGACACCAGGCACCCGTGGGGCACACAGGCAACGCGCAACAACCCGGGGCTCTCACCAGGTTTTCGGGCTTCCACGCGGACGGAAGAGTGGGGCAACTGCCACAGGCTGTTACTCGCCACCCGTGAGTGAAAACGGAACCACTTCAGCTTGTAAGAAACGGTTAAAAACCCCAAACTAACAGAAAAGCTCTTCTCCCTGCTGCACCCCCAACGGGTAACTCGGCTCCTCTCCAGGCAGCTTAGTATCCCAAAACAGCTGCTTTGCAAAACGCTCACGCAAGCAAAGCCAAAGGGCACAGAGCTGATAATCAAGTGATGCTATTCCCATTTCCAAAAGAGAGTTTTTAGGGGTATTTTTTCTACCTCTGTTCCCTTCCCAGCATTTTTGCTCTCTATGACTACGTATAAAAGCAACTACTCTTTGTGTGCGAAGCTGCAGGCTTCCTTGACTTTTAAAACAAGATTCCTACAGAAAGCTTCACACATTTAAAGAGAGTTAACTGCTCCCCTTTTCCACAGACCAGTTTTCAAGAAGAATTAAAAATTGCCACTCAACTAAAACTAGTATCTTTGCTGCTCAGATACAAACACATCTGGATACAGGAAACATACCTTGCAAATCGCAGTTTGAACCTTAGTTTCAGCACCTGAACACCGACCAGGATCAAGCAGCCTAGGCTGGGCCCAGGCAGGGACCTCCTGCGAAGCTCAACTTGCTTGAGGAGCTTGAGGGCCTCTCCTCTTCATCCCTCGCTTGGCTTAAGTCATGATTCCCACAGTTGCATCTTCAATGCAGAGAACGGGAGGCTTCTGCAGGAGTCCAAAACACCCCTTTGGAAGAAGGGAAGGAGCTTTCCCCCATCCCCAGCCCAATTTGCCCCCAGCAAGCCCATCGCTTGGGGCTTGGCAGCTCCACACTGTACCACAACTGCCTGCTTCTTGGAAAAGAAAAACACAACCCCAAACTCCTGAAATTTGGTGCTTTGCCTCGAGGTCAAGCCCAAATCTTGGAGCAGGAAGCCTCAATCTCACATGTGGGAGCAGGAGAAGCTCTTGCAGCTGGGAGGCAGAGGCTGCACCTGAGCGAGCCTCCTTCACACGCCTCGGGAACGAGATGAAACCATCAATGAAAGAAAAAAAAAAGGGAGGGAGGAATATTAATCTATATTAGTCTTCCTTGTGCATAATAAATGGTAAATAAACATAGGATTGGCGAGAAAAACGGTAACCTAAATGCTCGGCATTCACTAGGCAAGACAAATGGCAGTGCTAAATATATTTTTATAGATTTTCTTAACATAATTTTTTTTTTTCCAGTTTATGAGGTTCAACTGTCTAGTCCCTTCTGCCAGCTAAAGATTCATTTAGAACTGAGAAAAGTCAGTGAAAAATTACACAGAAGGGACTTTTAAACCTATTTATCTCGCCCAAACTTCTTTCGAGGTATTTAGCTGTTCCTATATGCGATGATTGAGCTTTAAATCGTGGCCTTCCAAAAGGTGTGCTGAGCTGAACCAAGCTTGAAGAGGGCAATCCCAGCTTTAAAGTATATATTTGTGGGCATCCTCTGCTTCAAGCATTATATAGTACTACCTGAAACACTTGGCTGCTTTGGAGGGAGTAAAGAGGGCAAAATCACTGTTTGATTCGCAGCTTTTGGGTCAAAGAGGTTCAATGATGTCTGAGGGCAGCAGATAAAAGGAGCTATTCCCTAACATTTATGGAACTCTGACACGGAAATAAAGCTAAATCTCCACTAAGAATCAAGAAGTTGTATCCCTGGATGCTCTAAAATGCTTCAGGATTTGCAAGCTCCCTCTCTCCAACCTGCCTCCTGCTTCTTGGCGCTGCAGAAGTCACTTCCCTTGAAAGCTCCACAGGCTGATTTGGTAAACGGAGGTAATGGGGGGGTCCCTGGTGGTGCTGCACCTCTCTTAGAGAAACAAAAAGAAAAAGCAGCTTTAAAAGCATCTTTGTTTAAGGGTTGAGGGGGGAGAAACGACAAAACACGGCACATTAAGAGGATGAATACCCGCAACCGGGGCGCGCACCATTTTTTCAAGGTCTTCTCGCAACAAATCTGGAAAAAAGGCCGCAAGGAGAAGCGGGGGGAGAGTTGAAAAGGGAGACTTTTCTTTGGGGAAGAAAGGAGAGCGCGGCTTGGTGCGTGCGTGTGAATGCAGCGCGGGCCCCGGCGCGGGTTAACGGGCCCCACTGAGCGGGGACGGCTTCGCCCGTCGCTGCTGCCAGCAACAGGGGCTCTCCCCGACGCACTCGCAGCGGCAGGTGACACCAGCCGCAGAAACGCCACTAGCCACAAGGCGTGTGGGAGAAGAAAACGCTTTCCTAAAGAATGTCAAGAGCCAAAAAAAGGGGTTTTGGCAGGCTTGTGTGGATTTCTTTTTTGGCATGTTTGTTTTTTAAGCTTTTTAAGAATGAGTTTTAAAACCAGAAAACCCATCTAGCTTTAAAAACGGGTGAGGAAGAAGCCTGTACTGCTTTACCTTGCTCCCAGGAGTAAAATATCCGGTCCAGCAAACACAGGGGAATCCAGGCGACAGCTGCCCTTGCTGTTTTAGGGCACAATGGGCAAGGCCACGTCTGCTTCGAAGCAACCGCAGTCCCCCAGCAGAAAAGCATCTCCCCAGCTCCTCAGCAAGGCCCTTTCCTCAGTTTCCTGCCATTTCTGCACCAGAAATTGCCCTAAGCCATTTGCCACTGATCCAAAGCCATCCTATAACACCCTCTTCCATGAAAAGCAGCCCACACCCGTCCTCTCCCTTTTTATTACGGAGGCAAAGTGTGCTCGGGAAGGCATCTCTGCAGCTCCCCTTGCTGTGGGGTGCGGGGATACTCCCGGAGCCAATGGAGGAGCATGGCAAAACTCCAGGACACACCTGGCAAGCAGGAGCACTGGAAACAGAGGGGTTTATACAGGCATCACGGAAAAAGAGAATTTATGGAACAAAACCCACGTGCATATGCTGTTTAACTGGTGTATCCTACACTCAACCTGCTGCAAGCAACTCAGTCTTCTCCAGCTGGAAAAGCCCAATCGGCAAAAACAACCAAGAGGGCAACATCGGAAACCGGCCCGTTTTCTCCATCCCAGGAAGTTGTTCATTTCAAAAGACGGGACACATGAAAAAGCAAGTGTTTGTTTCTCACGAAAACAACAACAACAATAAAGAACAGGCTGCTCTAGCATGAATAGAAATAACTAAAGATTCACATGAAACAGGTTTGGGTCTCTGGCCCAAGTGCCATCTTCTCACAGCAACCACCCAAGCTTCTCATTCCAGGTACCCCAAAACATCCCCCTCCTCTCCTCAACAGAGAGAGGAAAGTGCCCTTCAGTCCCTTAGCACAGAGTCCCTCAAAACTGACCCAACAAGGTGACCAGAGAGCTCACCGCAGAGCCACCTGGCTGAATACTCCACTGTGGTCCCCTTCCCACAAGCTCTCCCGCTGACTCCTGTCCTTCTCACTGTCCTCGCTCCAGAAGCACCATCCCGTGCCCTTCTCAGCTCGCTGCTCCTCCTCTTCAACACTGTCACATAGGAAAGAGCCACAGCAAGAGAAACAGGGTCTCTCACCACAAAAACCTGCCGCGACACCACTGAAAAATCCACAGGATCATGATGAATGCTGCCGTTTTGGAGACACAAACAGATCTCACTCGGGTTGGCAGATGCCAATCCCCAACCGCATCTACACAAGGCAATAAGGTGTCAACAACCGCCAGCGCTTCTGGTGGCTCCTCTGTCTCCCAAATATCAGCTCTCCGAGAGCTGAGCTTGGACTCTTGGTGACAAGTTGCCCCCAGCAATTTCACTCACCTCAATGGGCTCAGAAGGGATTTTCAGTTTGGATAACTTGGCCTTGGCGCTCGCCTTCAGCTCCGAGATTTTCTCGTAGGCTTCTCCGGGGAATTCCTCCGCGAGAGGCTTGAGCTCCGGGGATTCAACGGGTGCCTGATCTTGGCCATCCATTGGTCTCACGTAGGCAGTAGGTTTCTGCTGCATCGCACTGGTTTTCGACGGCAAAGGCGGGGGAAAGGCCTGGGAGGGAGGCTGAGCGGGCCCAGCCGGGTTCACGGCTGAGCCATCCCGGCTCTCGCCCTCCTGGGCCCCTGGCCCTGGCTCCTGAGGTGATTTTGGTTGGCTGTAGGACGGCCCGTGACTTCTGTGGCTCTTCTGTGGCCTGGAATTGATACGCTGGCTGGAATGTAGAGGCGACAGGGGTGCCACCGGAGAGGACAGAGATGACAGCAAGGGAGAGAGCTCCGACAGGGAGGCCTGCAGCTCCTCGGAACGAGCCTCGCCGACAACCCGCCTGTCATTTCTCTTGTGGCGAGGGCCGGCGTGGCTCTCCTGGCCACCACGACCGGGCTCTGGGCCTTGGCTTCGACTACTGGGTAAGCTGGGAGCTTTGGTGTGCAAACCTGGCGCCGGCTGCGTCCGGGATTGTGGCTTTTGGTAGGGAACGAGGTGGCTTGGAGGCGGAGGAGCTACGGCTGGAGGTCCCATGGGCTGCGGGCGGGCTGCGGGCTGGAATGGAGGTGCTAACGTATGGCTGGTCTTGTCATGGAAGAACGGGCGATCGGGCCTGCCTTGGGGCATCAGAGGAACGACGCTTTTCGGGACCCCGATCAGGTCCTGATGGGATTTGGTGCTGATGAGCTCCTTGACCTCCTCGTAATTGCCCAGCATGTTCTGGATACGGCTTGACAGCTCATCTTCTTTGTTAGTCTGGAAGAAACAGGGAATGGGGGACATTAACAAAAAAAAAAAAAAAGAAAAAAAAGCATGTGAAAGACAAGCTTGAGAAGATGGGCCCTACAGGACCTCATTTCAATAAATCATAATAAATAAATCATGCTTCCCCACAACGAGCCGAGTTATGCAGATCATCAGGCGCCTGCAGGCAGCCTCCCCAAAGCGAAGGCTCTTGTCAGCACTAACTCCAAGCGAAGCCAAGGCTGCTTCCTGGTCATAAACTTGGTCAGGAGCTTGGTCAACCTCCCACAACACAGGAGGCCACCAAATCCATCCGCCTGGGTGGATTTCAACGGAAGCCAGTGGGACCACGTCGCATCGCTGCGTGTTGTGCTGAAGGCCGCCAATGCCACAGCCCCTGCACCCAGCCTTTCCTCCTCGCCTCCCTTGGCCCCCCAGTCCCCCACCAAATACCTTGTAAGGTTCGGCAAAGAGGGGGGCGTTTTCGGGGAACGTGTCTCTCTCCTGCAGAGCCTCCTGGTTCCGTCTCTCTCTCTCGCGAATGCGGAGCAAGTTTCTCTCCTCATTGTACAGGCTTTAAGAAAGGAATAACAGAGAAGGATGGTTCTTATTTCACACAAACACTCTGATTTCACACCAGCACCCTCAGGGAAGAGCACCGTGGCGCGGAGGCTGCTTTTGCAGGCGAGGGCGCGTGTCCAGCAAGCGAGTCACTCTGCAAACCCCGGGCTGGCTCGAGCTGACGGCTGAGTCACGGCAGGATCCTGCGGGCTGCGCACGGCGGGCACCTTCCCGGGCACCCCCTGGCTCACTCGTGCTCCCGAGGCCACCCTGCACCGAGAGCGGAGAAGGGGCAACGATCCGCTCATTCACGGGCGGGGCACAAGGAGTCAGCACAGTCAGTGGGCACGCGGGCTGTAAAATCCAACGGACATGATAGATGGGGAAACTTCTGCCCTCGTCCACACCCTCGTTTCCACCCCGACACTTCACATGGCAGCGAAAAGAACAGACAGAGGGGAATAAATCCCCAACACCAACACCCAGTAGTTCTGAGCAACTGTTCAAGCCTGCAGCCTTGCATGGGATGCCCTCCCTTCTTTAGAAACAGGCTGGAATGCCAAAACACTGAAGTTTGGAGAGCTATTGTTATTTTCCCGGCTGCCACCCAAGCCACCATCACCCAAAGGCTTCGTGCCTCCCAAAGGGGCGCAGAGCACGGACGGTGTCACAGCAGGGAGCCCAGGGACCGGAGTGCTGCCGAAGGCCGCTGGCCCCAGGCTCATTTCCGAAGGCGCCTGCTCCCGGCCGGCCGAGGGACGGATGAGCTCGTGTCACCACGAGAGAAAAACACAGCCGGGGTCAGGCGATGCCGTTCAGAAGAGCTCCCAACTCCGGCGCTGCTGAAACGTTTCCAAACTCAGCAAAAGATGTTTCCAGCAATCCAAGCAAGCGAGCAGGAACCCCAGGGTGGCAGAGCGGCACCGTGCTGGGGAGACGGGCTCGGACGGGCCACGAGAGCAGCGTCTCCTCCGTGCGCTTGTTTTTAAGGAATGTGTTTCAATTGACACTGTTTTCTGAAACATTTCTGTTTGAGCTATCTGGAAAATTTTTCCTGAATGAAGTACCATTTTCCAAGCATTCCAGGAAGCAAAAATGATTCCGTAAATAACCCTTATATAAACTTTTTTTTTTTTTTTTGAGCTCCCTCAAGAACAAGCTTGGAAAAGCCCCAAACTGTGTTTTTAACTAGAAAAACTCCCCAGCCTTGGGCCTACGGGAGACAGGCCATCCCTTTCACAACTCTGCGATCCCATGGCCAAGTCTCAGGAATGCCAAATCCAGCCATCGAACAGAGCTTGTTCTTTCGGGATGGCCACATTTCCACAGGGATCGGCTCTTTGTTCCGTGTCCATTTCCAATCCAGTCTCTACCTGCCTACGCCAGCACTGCAGCCAAAGCAACGGGGATGCCAATGAGGAGCTAAAACTGCAGCCTTTTGGTGGCCATCCTGCCTTTGGAACCATTTTCCAGCCCTCTCATCCCCACGGTCAGGACCTCCCACTAACAACATTGGCTTCTGCCGGGAGCTCTGCTGACCAGCAGCTTCCTCCCTTGGAGGGCAGGGCCCCAGCCCCAAACACCCTCCTAGCTGGTGCCAGAGGCAGAGCCAGCTCCTTGCCGTCCCCCTCGCTTCCCTCCGACCCCTGGTCACAAAACTGTCCCGTAAACCACAAGACATTTTATGCTCGAATTAACTCCCTTCGCCCGGCAATTTCCGCAGACGGGATTTTGGACTGCGATCCAGTCTGAGGGCATTCACGGGGACGCACGTTCCCCTACTCGAGGCACGGGCCGCCCAGACACTTGTGTCTCACGATAACTAGAGGCAACGCTGCAGGAGAGCAGAAGATGCAGCATTTTGGGTGTTATCCCCCCTCAATCCACAAGGAGTTTTCCAAAACCACACCGCGCTTTCCTGCGGCATCGCCTGAGGATCCGATCTTGGGATCGGCTCCACTCACTTGGCTGTTTCACAGAGGGCAGAGAAATCCATAAGATGCAACACAAGCCTGAGAGACACTGTCAGGAATAAGGGATAACCCTCTCCTCCCCAAACAGACCCATTCCCAACCACCCGAGTAACCTCAGCTCAAAGCCAGAGCCGCCGGTGTCCCCACCACAACGCTCCACGTCCCCTGGGCACCTGCATCCTTAGGCATTAAGGCCCATCTAATAGTACTTAAAGCACTGGGGACTCCAAGGTAGATCAGCCTGGTAGCAGGTAGCTAATACAGAAAAAAACACTCAAAATAAACTGAAAAGGACGCATGATTTGGGGGATCCAGGTAGGATCCCAAGTACCACTTCCACAAGTGAAACATCTCACCCAGGGAGCCCACATTTGCCCTGCATTTGCACTGTCAAAAGTGTTCTCACTTTTGACAACAAACCTATGTACAACTTAACTTGGATATCAACGTGTTTTTCTAGGATGGCTGGAGAGGAAGGAAGCTGTTACCTGTATATTTTTTTGGCAAACGTAACCTGTCATTGTTGAACATAAAGTACAAGTGAAAAACAGGAGGGGTAACACACGAGTATCCGAGTGATGACGCGGGAATCGCGGGGATTTGAAGAGCCCCGAGAGGACGAATCACCCGGGCTCTGGTGTGGAGCCAACAAGTGGGAATCCTGATAGACACTTCCATGGAATTCTATAGGTTTATAGAATGGTAAATGGCAATTGTAAATCCAAAGAAAACTGCAAATCCAAGCGTTTGTAGTATGTTATTGCTCAGACCACCAGAGTGTGTTCTGTGCTCCTTAGCATCTCTTTTACCAATAACATCCAGTCTATGAGGAAAAAAAACAGTTCTTCCCTTACAGCAGGTCTCGTAATCATCTCGAGGCACCGCAGCTTTGGGTGAGGGGCTCAAAACCCACGGGTGGGGGTGACAGGGCTCAGACAAAGGGCCGTCCTGCCCCTGCGCCTGCAGCGCCCGTGCAAGGGCCGCGCGCGCTGCGAGCGCCGCAGCTGCAGCACCTCCCAAGCCCTTTTCTTCCCCTGAACCTTCCTTGACCCTGCGCTCCCTTCCCAGCAATAAATCCTCTCTGAAGAGCGGGTGAAGAGGGAGAGAGGAGGGGAGGGCGGGGGACGCGGTTTTCCTGGGGTTTTTTGGGGCCATAACAGGGATCCCCGGGGTTCCCAGGGATGGGAATGTGACGGCTCGGGGCTTTGAGCGCGTTAATGCCCAGGGGCGCTTCCCGCTGCCAGGGCAGGCAGCAGACTTCCCATTCATCACGCCCCGAGAGGTCACTCTGCTCCGGTTTTCCGCTGGGAACGCCGGCTGCCCCAGTCCGCCCTCTTGGGAGGCTCCCGAGCCTCCCAGTATTATCCTAGGAGCTCCTACACCACCATCCAGGCAGGACAGCAAATCCACAAAGAGAAGAACTGCTGCCTCTCCTCCCGGCCCGGGCCTTCCAAGTGAGAGGGAAATAAAATGAATATGGAAATGGAAATAATAGATTCGTTTGAATTTTAACTGCAAGGTGGAATCTTGCTGGCTGCCTACAGAAATTATTCCAGCGGCAGGGAAGGGGGCGGAAGAAGGCAGAGAGAAAGCGCACACACAGCCCTGGCTCCCTGCCGAGCGCACAGAACCTCTTCCTCCCAAACATTAAGAGGGAACATTTCCTTTTGGTACAACTGCAGGAAATCACAAATTTATTAAAGCCCTTCTGTCACTAAAACAGAGTCTTTTTTATCATGAGAAGCTGCCGGCCGACGTTTCTCAAGATCGAGACGCTCGTTCTTTCTCAACCTGAAGTCCAGACACGTTCCCCGAAAGCAGCACGGGATGCCCCACGAGAGCCTCGCCACTGGCCCGTGGCCTCAGTTCTCGTGTCTCCGTAGGGAAGCTCCTCAGGGACACGCTCGGCTCTGACGCTGCGCTCCCCACGCGACCTGCCTCGCAACGCGGCTCCAAGACCCGCAGCGGCAAGGCCGACACGGAAGGTAAGAGCATCCAGGGTGCCCCTTGCCATCCTCTCCTTCCCGGCACCGCAAGGCAGGCTCAGGCTCGCTGGATATTCCTAAGCTCTGGTTCAGCCCGTCCAGCGTTACCTCATGGAGCACGTGTGGGCTCAACAGGAACAGGTGAGGAGGGGAAGGCACACGGCGCATGTGCGGCACACGCTACAGCTGTGGGGAATCATTTTCTGCACCACCATCCAGCAGCTTTGCTACGTGCCTACCAAAAACATGTATTTTCCCACTGGAAAAATTAAGAGTTGGGCTCATGTGCAAGCTCCTTTGCTTGCAGCGCAGCAAGGCCACCCAGCAGCGCTTGCACGGGGCAGCAGATGGCTTGGCTGGAGCCCACAGGCCACCCCAGTGTCGGTGAGGGCTGCAGCAAACCTCCTGGCAGGCGTTTCTGCAGGAAAACTGCTCAGGGAAAACCTAGGACTGCTTCAAGTTGCACTTCAACCTAATAAAATTATACAGGTAAGAGATGCCAAGCGCACCCCTTCCTATGATTCAAACACACAAGAAGGGCTCTTCAAGGTGCAGCAAAAACGTTGGCTTTTGCCAGAATAACTCACTTCTACTCGGGTTACAGTAAGCACCCTCACGTGGCTTCTTCCACAGGCATCTTGGCGCTCAACCTGTCACCTATTCGCTCCTACCTCTGTTGCCAGGTTTACAGATACATTCATTACTCAACCACGATAAGATTTTCATTTCCTTTCGGCATCAACCGGGCTTGATTCATCGGGCCGTTCCCAGGAGAAGGCCTTCATGCTTCCTGAGAAGTGCCAAGTTCCTGCAACTTCCGCCGCTCGGACGGGAATCGGGAACACGGAGCTGTTCTTCACACATGGGAAGTGCCTCCCAGGAGTGAAACCTCCCTGGCTGGATTCCTCAAAACCTGCCCAGGGTCCAGAGCCGCTTGTCCGTCAGCAGCCAGGGAAGGCTCAAAAGAGAGGGAGGATCTGCAAAAACAACCTCCTTGTTGTTTTTGCAGTGATTTCCTCCCCATGAAAAAAAAGGTGCAAACAAATCAGTGCTTT